AGTTTGAAACGAGACCGTGCAAGAACAGCGAATATGAGTTCATACAACCGGTCAAAAGTGCACAGAGCTGTCACCAAAGCGAATGAGCATCGCACTAACCAAGAACACGCCATGAATAGCGTTGTACGTCATCTTTTGATAGCAGAAGCTTTACACTCTCGGTATGCCCTTGGCTCACTGCCAACGAGCTAGCACTTCCCATTCCCTAAACATACGGCTGGTACGGCCTGCCGACCTGATGATTCGTAACAATAATTTTAGCTTGATCATGATACTTTATTTATTGTAAGCACAGAAGAGTCATTCAAAGCACCAATAATTGCAAATTGAGAATGTTAGAACAACGATAGCTGTATGTAACGGGCATTGCGTTTTTGATCCTTACATTTAAATATTAAAGATTGTGTCTAAACGGAATATACGCATTTTAATAGTGTAAAACAGACACAGCTTTCTCTTCGACCTTAATACAACAATGCGTAAAATTTTGCAGAGTATTTAATTACCGTTGTATTAGTACCAACCAACCGCTGTGCATCTCAGGACCGCATTACATCATTCAAACGCAGGATATGTACGTTTGAACGATCAAATACAGGTATTGCCAAACCACCCATCAACACGCCAAAAATTGCTTCTAACGCATCCTTTTACGCTCATCATCCACACACTTTCTCTTCTCAACCCCACCAAACACCTCACTCTCCTCTACAATAATATATCTAATCCGTGTTCCCTTGACAAAATAGCTCTCAATAACCTCATCCTTTACGGTTGCATCAAGCAGGTGCAGGTTCATTTTCTTATCTACTTTTGAAAGGATGCCTTTCACGGTTGTTTTCTCCTTTGTTTCGATTGTTAGCTGTTTGTTTTTGAGTGTGCGCAAGAATTGTATTATTTGCATGATGATGGTTTGTTGTAAAAATATTTTGGAGAGGGGTAACAGCAAAAAATAGAGAGAGGATGTTTGGATGGGGTGCGTAGTTTAGGCAGGCATGAATTATTTGCTGGTGGTTGATCATTTACAACGAATGTTATGGAGGGATTAGTTAGATTCTGTACGGTATGCGCAGATTACAACAGGTAGTTGAGTTACTGTGCTGCTATGTGTAACACGCTTGTTAAACAAACTTTTTGTTAGCAAGAGGTGACTGTTAGGTAAATTTGTTGTTTATTAGATCTGCGCAGGATGGTGTGCAGTTAAAGGCGTTCTTAGGGACGTACTGGTGAAATATCGAACGAACGAATATTCAGGCTGACTCACACGCAAAAACAAATCACTGAACGATGCACATGGTTCAAACTTGAGTGGATGAAAATGTGCAAAAAATCAATTTAAGAATGTGAGTTACAGCTCTACTGATGTAGCAAGATACGCTGCCTGTGATCGTTTATTGTTCTATCGGCGTATCATCACATCCATACGGATCAATTACAAGACGTGCAAGCACGTGCAGAGCTAGGCATCCATTCACCACGGTAATTGGCAGTGCCACCGCTCAATGTTCTTCCTCACCTCACTTTCATAGATCCTTTTATTACGATACATTCGTGTAGCAGGCCCGTTGGCTGGCGAACTAGCATTGGGCGTCATGAGCAGCTGCTGCAACGCACATAAAATGTTGCTCACCGTAAGTGAAGGCTTCCATCTGCCTTCCTCCAGTATACTCAAACACACCTCGCCCGACTCGTAAACATTGGGATGGACAACCTTGTGCACGAATTTTACGCGTGGCGGCTTGAAAGGATAGTCACGACCGAATGATAAGTTCACGAGGTAGTAACTGTCTTTGTATAGGGGAGCGTCCGGTCCAGGAAAACCACAGTTCCATTTCGTTATGTCTGCAGGGGAGGGCCTGGCGAAGAACATGTACTTGCGCTCTTTTTTTAGGTTGGCTTGTTCCGCTACCAACCGATCTATGCATGTGCTCATCGGGGGTACAAAAATACAAAAATTTGTGGTAAGCAAAGTTCTTTTAGACCTTCCGTGGCGGAAGAAATCATGGCAGGGAGGGGATGAAGTGTTTGGTTGTGTTGCCCAACATTTTCGCTTCAGCCATCCGTTTAAAATGGTAATCGTTTGGTCGCCGTGGTACATTCACGAATTGATGGTGTGGCGGGAGTAACTGAAGAAGAAAGTTAATTTAGTTTGATCAGCAAGACACTCATCTTTCATGGCTAGTGCCTTAAAATTGTTGGTTAATGGTTGATAGTTTATCACCAAGGCTACATTTAAGTGTTTAGCTCTGAAGTAAGGAGCAGCCACACCATCCGGTGTATTACTCGTGACAACACAATGAAGTGGTGCTGCACAAACCATAACACGTAAGAATAAGCTTTGTGCGAAGAACAGCGGTGATCGGACAGGACGGCGTGTTCAAGTGGTGCTTCAATTTCATTCAGTGCATGTCATGCGTTGCTGCACGATCATCGAATTGCAACGGTGATAATTCAGCGGTATACCTTAAATATCGTTATACGATATTTGATTGTAATTGTTGTAGAAGAACGTTATGTTAATTCTTGGCATGGGGACGGCAATTTGGACGGTAACCGCGTTAATTTGGTGTTGTGCGGTAACAACGGTACTTTGCTATTCCTGTTGAACAATGGCACGTTATTATCACTGTTACACGTGGTCATAGGAAATATTTAGGAGAGGGACTTTCTCCTTAACACGTCATCCTGCACCTGTAAAATTACGATAGATACGCAAGTGTGGAGTAGGATCGTACTAAACGAGTAATCGGCTCAGTTTATCAAAATGAAGCTTTGAACAGGTAAAGTACCTGTTCACTCACGACAATGGTACTTGCTAAGCAGGAGTGCATGGTTAGCTTTACTTGTTGTAAGAGTTTTTAACAAGGGCCTCACTAAACATCTTAGATTTTGAGCCTGGGATGAGGACCGCTTCTAATTTTACATTACTAGGAATGGCAACGTGGACATTTTGTATTGCTATCTTGCAGCAGATCGTGTTTCATTGCTTTAAAAAATAAATTTGTATAAGTTGCAGATTTAAATACATGTACAAGTCTGTTGACACGCAGCTGTAGCATGGTTAAAAGGGGGAAGGCGCCGGCCTTGAATTACAAAAAGGGATATGAAAGAATCGCAACGAGCCATAGAATCTCTGTGCAAATAATCGACCAAACAAACGTTACCTCACAAAAATCGAAGCAAAATCAAATGTTACACAATTTTTCATCATTCTGTTGTCTAAACATGCAGAAATCTCATTCGTTCGATGTAATTCATGTTGATCACATGTTAATGTAAGTGTATGTTGCTGTAACACTTGTTCAAAAGCTTTGGCAAGCTTGGAAATGACTGTTTTCTTGGCGACGTTGTGATCAAAGAATACGGAAATCAACTCTTCCTTGATCAAGCACGCTGAGAGATTTAAAAGAAGATAAAATGATCATTGCTGATGACCAAGTATCATTGTTTAAATTTGAGTGTATAATGTGGCAATTACGTTTTTAGTAGATTCCAAAATTGACACGTTCTTACGATTTAAGAGAATATATTAGAATAGAAAATTCAAATTGTTAGAATTGATGGTTGGTGGCATGAAAAGAATCAAAAAATGCTGGAAAAATGATGGGACCGGTAAGTTATGTTCTGGGTTTGGGAACAAACCGTTGTTGATGGATGCTTTTTTAAGCATTTCCCAGTTTTGAAAAAGTTGTTGAAATAAAGGAACATATCAGGTCAGTTCGACACGTGAATGATAAAAGTATTGATTGGACAGTAAACAGAAAAGGTGTACTAGTGTTCACAACTCGTATAAAACGTAGTTTACGATCATTATACTTACCATTCGAGTGAAAAGCGGCGCAACTGTCCCAGTACATTCGTATTTTTTCTGTTTGAACAAGCACTCGTTTGTAGTTTGGCCGTAATGACCGCGCAAAAAACTCATGGGTGCTCATGCAAAGACATATCTTAGTAATTGACAACGATTAGAGCGATACATACCAACAAAAACGTATGTAAATAGGGAGTATTACCAAATAGCTGTATTTTTGTGAGGTATGGCACAAATAATGTACCATATTATACACAGCTATGCTAATGACAGTAAAAGTAATTCATAAAAATCATAACGTACTTCGTTTATTGTGTTATTCTGGTTACATACCTCAACTATTTCTCATAAGTGTTTTACCGTGTTTCAAGACTATAACTCGGTATTATACATGGTCGATGAAATCCTACTTAATCGCTGAAGCTCACGCTCATCACCTTTTAGAAATGCCTAAATTTTAGACTCAGCTTTCGAAATTTACACGACTGAATTTGTATTTGCACTCCTGATAAATCGTTGCCACGCTAGCGAAGTTTCTATAGAAGAAGTTTAATTGGTGCAATACACCGTATTTACCATCTTTCTTGGTACTTTTGCCAGAGCAAGACGAGAAAGCGCATCATGATCATTCAATCAAAACAGAATTAATTGATACAATGACTTTCATTATGACAGTATAGATTCTATACAGCATGACAAACACGAAAATGATGGTGAAATACTAAGCATCATGTGATTTACTTGCAGGTCGGTATAATAAATTGTTGCGAAATATTTTATTTCGTATCAATCAACGGAAACAGGAAGGATCTAAAACAAAAAAATAACTAGCGATCTCGAACTAATACATGGAGAACAAATGTATGAAACACATAAATAACTGTTCTAAACAGGATATCATCTATTCTTAATTTGGACAAATTCAATAAATCATTTAATTTTCTTTAATTCGTGTTATGATAGTTCATTCACATCCTTTCCTTATCGTTTACAAAAGTGTTCTCAGGAGTGAATAATAACAAATTAAACGAATTCACTTATTATAGCAATAAACACGATCGAATTATTTGGTGTTTATAAATAGCAATTTGTATTTATATTGCCGGTACAACGATGTAAACAATCCATTTGTTCAACTTAATAAGCTTTAAGTACAATATTTTCACACAGTAATTAACTGTGATACATGAATGTGTTTTATTATAGTAAAAAAGTTACCATAGACAGTATTTTTTTATTTTTTGTTTATCTCTTTACATCGAGTGTTGCTTTCTGATGTCAAAGCTATCATTGTTGTATAAAAAATAGTTTTGATAGACTTTAAGAAGGATAAATAAAATGTTAGCACGGTGAACATCATGCACAAACTTTCACTCGCATATGAAAAGTGAGAAAGTGCGTTCATAAATAGAGAATGATAAACTGTGATGATGCTGGTGTGAGTTTTTAGATATTAGTTGTTGTGTGACTTCCAGATATGTCGCAAGCTACTCGAATTGGACATAATCCGTGACATGTGGTGAGAGTTACAAGCTAGCTGTGTTTATGTACGAAACGCTCGCCGTAACAGATGAGTAACTAGTGAGCACATGTTTAACTTGTTGGTAATAGGTGATTGAAAAAGTGTGAACTGCAATGTTTCATGAAACATTCTATACGAGTGGCTGAATGTAAATGGAAAAAGTTGATTTATAAGCCATATAGTCATATTCAAGGTTTTTGACGAATACAGCACAGTGAAAATGCATATGTATCGGAAAGGTGTAGCAGGCATGGAATATGGATGCACATACGTGATGAATACATTTAATTTCTTTTTGCTAAGACAATAAGTTCATGTGGCAAGCAAATAGGTTTGCATTTGACCTTTGCTAACAAAACAGGCATAATTTGTTTTTGCAACAACTTGATGTTGGTGCTGTTTTATGAGTGCAGTTATGTAAGGAAGGTTGTAGTGCCTATAAATGCAGCACATAAAACATGTTCAGAATCCTAGGATTCTTGAGGTTTACTGACGTTATTCCGCCGAGTAATAATCTTTTTGGCTTTGATTATAAGGATCGCGTAAAGTCGGCTTAGTGTTACATTTGAGGTAAGTTTATGGAGGTATGGATGAAAATGTCTTCAGCAAGAATATTTGTATCGTAATCTTATTTTCAAAAGCATTTTATTCGACTTATGTGACATACAAGCGATACATTGTGCCTTTTTGTTCATGTCCAGCGTATGAACATAGTCACATATATATTTTTTTGTAACAATATGTCAATTTGGCATCCTGAGTAGTAGAATAGCAGTGATCATGTAAGATTTAGGAAGTATTATGTTCGCACAGAGAAAATATTCGTGAGCTTAACAGATTAGAACTATCGTGTTTATTCTGCTTTTATGGCCAAAATGTAGCAATATAAAAAGGTCAAATGTTTCGAGCTTTTTTGGTTAATAAGAGGGAGTAAATTTAAAAGTAAGCTTTATTGGGATGATTGGCAAAGAAAATTATACCTGATAGTTTCATCGAAATATACATAGAGAGAATGGTTTTAGCCATTAATTTATTGTTCTGTATATGCGTTCTTTAGGTATTTTACGGATTATTGCCTTTTTTGTATAGTTACGCTTTGTTGGTATCGAACCTATTCATCAGGAGTTTTACAGCTTCTTTCTCTAAGTTTTTTCGATCAATATTCGGTGTTAGACTTCGTTTGTTGCATTCGAGTAAGTTATACTTCTCAAGAATGTTCACTTTTGCCATTTTCAAACTTCGTAAATACTCGTTGCTCAGTAGTTCACGACTGCTTTTTAGTGCTCTGTCAAGAGCTGTAAAGAATGGTAACGTAGATATGCTTCTTTTATCGAAAATTGGCTGAAAATATGCAATAACGTGGTATGTTTCACGTCCATAAGACAGCGAAATAGTCTTCTTATGCATTAGAAACTTATCTTGTTGTAACTGCTTCTCAAGAGGCGTGCATTTTAGCCTTTCCACCTTGCTCCCACGGTTTTTCATCGTTGCATTTTTCGTAAGACATTTCGGTACTTCTTTGTAGAGAAGAAACGAACCTAGTATTTTTGATGGGGACCATGTTCGGCCGTCGGTCCATCGCACCATTAGAGTTCTGTTTTCAATGAATATGTATATATTACCACTTTTTATTTCATCGCGCTCTTTCAATGATAGTCGTTCTCTATTGGGTCTTACTAGTCCTAATCTCACGGCATGTACCAGTAAAAATGCTTCGTCGTAAGAATGAAGATATCCTCTAATGTAGCTCATGCGCGGTAAGCAAATGTCCTAATTTATATTTTTTAGATATCGTATCGTAAAAAACAAAAATAAATGTTTGCACAGTAGTGCATACAGAATAGGTATAAAACGTGTTTATAGTACTTCGTGTCTGAACCTTTCTTGTGCACATCAAGGATATCATAGAAACGCGAGAGAAAAAGGTTCTGATAGTTACTAGATCTATTTTTGTTTAAAATATTTTGTCATCCAAAATTGGTTGGCAGGATTCTTTCATAACCAGACACCTTGACTATCAAAATATTTTTTAATGGCACAGATATAGTTTATTAAGGATATATTCCACATCAACACGTCGGTACAAATGTGTTATGTGCAGAAAACATCGAATCCCAAAATAGATACAGTCACATATATTGTATTTTAACCCATTTTATTATTTGATTAAAAAAATTGCTATTGAAATACATTGTCGGGATGCAAATATCTATTAAATTCCCGACCACACTTATTTATGCATCACTATCGGTATACGATAAAATTTTGAGCAATTTTTCAAAATATCACTGTTTTATTTTTCTTGTATGAAAATTTAAATTATAGAATTTTCTAAAAGGTCTCTTCCACAAATGTCTTCTTGTCTATTTTTGGTAATTTCTATAATCACGATCATTATTACTCTATTTTAGTAGTTACTGCCCCTAAAAACTGCTAACAAATATTTTAAAATGACTTAATTTTTCCACAATTACCCAGCAACATAACAAATCTATTTCTCCCATCGTATTATTCATATAAACATAAAAGATAATAAGTAATCTCCTATAAATACAAGTTTCAATGTATATAGGCGGTTTTGCATGGTATTTTCACGTTATTTATTAAAATATATCTAAAATCGCTTCAGACTTACATTTAAATGTTTATAAAATTTTTATCGCGCCATATGTTACTTGTTAAGTAGGTATTTATATTGTGCTTGATGTCATGTTTTTAAGAATGTTTTTCTCGAATAAAACATGACCAGCATTTTTATTGGGTTGGTAATGTTCAAAAGTGTTTGAAAACTGCATGTTGCTAGATCGATATAATATTCAATCAATTTAGATTGATTAACTGACTTGAAAGGTGCTGTCATGTGTCATATTTAGAGAAATATTAACGAAATGAATTGGTTGACAGTACGACCGAAAGCGAAAAAAGAGTACTAAAAGAGTATAATGCCGTAATATAACCCGTAGATGTATTTACATATGTAAAAACAATATGAATGTCATCATTGGGCTGATATCCGTGGAATTTATGGTGTCAAAGACGTACATTCAGATGCAAAATATAAAATGTACCCCAGTGGTCTATTGAAAGCATTTTGGTTCCATTGTTAACGGCAAGTGCTAATCTAAAAAAAACTTGATTTATAACTACCAATTATCTTCCTGATCAATAAATAATTATTGCAGGATTGCATCTATACCTCCTTAGAAAGCACCGTAAATCAGAACATCGCATTCACCGCATAATTATTACACAAATTCGTTCCTATCAAAAAGTTATTGTTGATTTATATTGATCATATTAAAGGAAATAAACATTGATGTATGAAATCAATTATACATGATTTTTAACCGAAAAATATCTTAATGAACTACTTCATAGTGTTCAATTTCAATATTTAATTCTATCAACTCGTTTTATTTGCCAATTGAAATTTAATGAAGAGAGATCATGCTTATTTTCCTTTCTGAGGCAACTAGCACAACCATGCATTTATTTAATGCTATTAATGATTTTATAGTTACATTCTAAGCGAGTTGTTTTGTGTTGCCATATTTACAGCATACCTCCGTGCAATCTTGATCACAAAAAAATTACACCATATGAACAATGTTGCTCCATAAACTCTGCTAATTTATATTACGTTAACAAGGTTTGTCTACATCATTTTACACAACTTGATGTTGTTGTGTGTTAGTCATGACAAAGCTCCAGTAAGAGTGTCTTTATTCTTAAAGATAAACAGGATCAAGGTTAACTAAGAAATCGATTGAGGATATGATTATAGCAATGATATGATCAATTCATCTTGCAACCCTTTCTATTCTACAGCAATTTTAAGTACACATAAAAGTTGCATCGGCAAACGACTGTAAATATGGGAAAAATTTTTCTTTTTCTGAGAAACTTTTGGCACATACTTTTGTTTTGGACAGATATCTTTTGAGCTATTCCTTTTAAACGAATCATGATCAGGAAACTACCTCTGTCGCAATATATTTAGCACCAATGAGTGATTTTAATTGTTTGAGACTGTATTTCATTTAAATTGTACTCCATCTCGATGATTTAATACGTATTTTGTGCAAAAATTGTTCCAACAAAAAAATATTAGAACTCATTGAAATCCGCAACCCTTCGCATCTGACATCCTGCTTAGTTTGCAAACCCTTATAAAATAATTTTGGTGGTAGTAAGTCGTGATTTGATGGGTAATTATGCCATTAAAGTTCTTTTTTCACGGTATCTTGCGTTGAGAAATATAGATGAAAATAGAATTTGTTCCACGATATTCCTAATATCTGAAGAAATGACTGAAATTAAGTACAATTACGCTGTAAGCTGCGAGTTAGGTATTTATTGAAAAACCGTGCTAGTTCATAAAGAGGGTGGTTTTGAAGAAATTTCGTCTAAAAATGCTTTTCTCGAATGCAAAATGTCCGATATTGAGGTTTTACAATTTGCAAACACAAGAAGTCGGCAATTTGCAAATTTTTTGCGCATTATGGAGGAAGGTCATTTGGTTCTATCTTTGGACAATGATCCGAATTTTTCATGATCAAGAGTTGCATTTTTTATTTGTTGCTGCCATTATCGTCCATGTGAGAATTTCATTTTTTGCTGTACCAGTGTTCATCTATGCGATACACATTATTTCTAGCACAAAATGATGGTTTTTGTACTAATATACGTCATTATATAATATTTGTTGATCTCACCAATTTTTATTCTCACATTGTGTTAAAATTTTTGGATTCTGTACGGCTGCTTCTTGTTCGAGAAGAGTTCATAAAAATATAAACCAGTCAAGATTATTCTGAAATTATGGATAAAATGCCGAAAATCACTATGTTAACATATATTATAATCTCATTGTAAACTTCGAATGTGCGTGAATCAAGTCACAATATCTACACGGAGATGGTTTTGGTTTAGCATTCAACACTATCTTTAGCAGGCACCACTTACACAAATACCTCGTAACGTAAACTAAAAGACGCTCTGCAGTCACCCTTGTATCAAAAAATGGCGAATGAACCACAATCAAACGAAAAGACACCTGAAAAATCGTTTACATCCCGAATAAATCCCATAATACGAAATGTAGTTACCAATGGCGCAAAAGGATACGTATTTGGCACGTTAGTGGGTCTCCTTAATTCACGAAAACCGGTGAAGTGCACCTTAACTGACATGCATTCATCGGGAAAGCGTTTTATGATGCTTGGAATGATTTACACGGGAAGTGAAGCATTGATAGAGACCGTTAGGGATAAGAAGTGTCCTTTAAACGTACTTGGTGCAAGTGCTGTTGCAGGTGGCCTTGTGATGAGCAGAGATGGTCTGGGAAAGAGTTTGTTGGGGGCGGTAGGGTTTTCAGTGTATACGGGACTAAATGAGTTTTACTATACAAGAGATGATAAGTAAATTATTTTTATACTCTCTGAGTCTTTCTAAATGTGCTATCTTCGTTCACTTGTGCCTGTGAGAAGGCGGCAAAAAACAACAGTCCTGTCCATAAACATAGCGAAACTAACCATTCGTTCCACGTATTGTTGCTTGTGGCAAATTATCTTTGTGCACTGCGGAATATGAAACTACAGTATGTCGTTGCTGCTATTGAAAGTTCAGCTCCCTCCTAATAAGCATTGTAAAAGTCAACATAATCTGTAGTTTTATCTTTCACCAAGATGTATGTGGTAAATGATTGATTGGATTAGTATGTACGCATAAAATATACTTTTTGGCCAGAGATTACAAAACCATCCAATTAAAGCGTGGTACATGTTATATTAGTAGCCGGATCATAGCAGCTTTTCAATGCGTCCAGCCACACATTTTATGTGCCCTGCTGGATCGGGTCGAAGCAGATAATTTATAAAATTTGGGATTTACATTTCATTAGCCCCATGACAAAGCTTTTTGTTTCGAATTTACCACTAAATTACACTAAAACAGATATTAAACAGATTTTTACGGCTTTTGGACCGCTAAAATCAATAAAACAGTACATCACGCCAAAAAAACAAGAAAGCAACATCCAGAGTGCCTTCATAGAATACGTAAATAATGACGATGCCGCTGTTGCAGTGAAAAGTTTGCAAAATAAGAAATTCTACGACCGGTACTTGATAATGCAGCGTGCATACGAGCGCTACAACAAAATATACGTGGGCAATCTTGACGAGAAAATAACGGCTGAGGACCTTCATAATTATTTCAGCGACTACGGAAAAATTGTTACCGTGCAGAGAGAGAAGGAGAACGATTACGCGTTTGTTGTGTTTGAAGAGGCGAGCATAGCGGAAATGCTTGTGAATAATCACGGCGCCAAAAAAATAAAGAGTAACAGCCGGCCAGTGATACTCAGGCGAGCTGAGAGTAAGGCAGAAGGTAGAAAACGTCAGATTCCTCATAACAGAAGCATCTGTGTAAAGAATTTGCCCACAACAACCAGCGAAAGTCTGGTTGCATTTTTTGATGAATGCGGGTGTGTGGAGAGAGTTCAGATAGGAAATAAGAAAGCCGTCGTGATCTTCAAAGATGAACTAAGCGCTCTAAAGGCGATGAAATATAAAAACAAAAAAGAATTTAACGGCAGAAAAATAGCAGTCGAGATTTTTGCAAACAGAAAGAAATGTGCTTAAGCAAAGGGGCTCTACGCAAAAAACGGTGCTGCATGCATCGTCACCGTAGCCTTGGTCTACGAATAAAAATTTTAGATTGTATTTTTTTTTCTTGTTACAGAATTGTACCTGTCCCTGCTGCTCCTCTGCCCCTAGTACGGGTTGTCGCCGAGAGAGAATGCTTTGTTATCTGCCATCCTGTGATTTACATCACGGTGCTCAGCCTCGTCAGCCCGGACAGCCCGAACCACATCGACGAGCGTTGCCTCTTCTGGCAAGTTCCAATAATCCTTGCTTATTCTCGGAGCATCAACATTTTTTATATGTCCTACCAGTATTTCCTCCTCAAACGCATCGTACGATCTAACAGCCTCCTCTTCAAGATACCCAACAAATCTGTGAGCGGTCTTTGGTGTCATAAAGTAGAAAACCATATAGCCGTTGAAGAATAGGAATTGACCTAGCCTGATCAGCATTCTGTCCAAAATATTTGGTTTAAGCACGGCTAGAAATGTTAAGAGATGCTGTCGCTCATTTTCTGCCTCTAGTACCAGTTTCTTGATGGCCTCACCGTTGTCCTCAAGATTACGCAAACTATAGAGGTGCCTGAACATTCCCCCTACCATTCCCGGTATAGCAGCAACCGTTTCAAGAACAACCACACGACGCAAATAGTCCTTTTGAAAGTATAGATCTGCAAATGCGCGCAGTCCCTTTACAATAAGAAATGCGAATGTGTCTGAGAACGACTGGGGAACAAAATGTTTCCCTGACTCATAGTCTATTGATTTGAGCTCCTCGAGCGTTATCGGGCGCTCAAACTCGGGTCGTGAGCGCTCTCCATATCCTTTTAGGTGTATGAAGATGTTGTTTGCGGACGACGACTGTAAAACTCGTTGAAGAGGCACCGGTACTTTCTTGTTATTCGTTTTTTGGAGAGCAAATTCGTTTTTAATCATGGGCACACAGCTATTATGATACCCCACATTTGCACTGCGTATATTTCCAGTGCAATCGTGTGCATACTTTCGGCCATTGTTCAAAACTTTCAAGCCAAAGCCTATTCTCGTGGGAATTTTTGATGGTAAAGGGTTGTATCTCGGTAACATACATCATCCACTCTCAATCAATTTATTTAGCTTGCCACCAATCAATCTTTCTGTGCTGAAACAATCCACGAACCGTAACCTGGCTGTAAAACTACGTGTTACATTCCAATACAATCCTACATTTAGTAGCAACCTGAGAAGATGTGCTCATCCATGGTATTACAAACCGGATAATATCACCTTTTATGTCAGCTTCAATGCTACAAGTCTTAGTGCACAGAAAATGTCCATTACGTAAGAATTATTTGCTCAAGGAGCCATATGTAATGTTGTTTTCTATTGTGCCTCATAATGAATGGATCTACAACATACAGACACTTGTTCCTCAGTAGTACCGTGATCTCTATATGTGGTGTGTAAAGAACGACAACATGCGCACTGTTTCTCGTTAATATTTGGCATATGACTTGTTACTGTCTATTGATGCAGGCTTGCCCTATGAGTGCTCGTGATTTTGCACAAATGTAAATCGTTACATCATGAAATACGACTTGTTCGGCATAGTGAGCTTCAAGTAAATGCACTTAACTGTGAATGAGCAAAGAATGGTATTTTAAAGTTACATCCCGGTTTGAAATGTGAAAATAAATAAAATTGTTGTGTTCAATTTGATATAATCTTTTTTCTCGCTGCAGAGATAGACATAGGCTCACGTTTTAAATTGAGAAGATCTCTGCTCCTCAGCACAGCGGTATAGAACAAGGATTTACGCTTGATGCGATTAATCGATTCAAAGCATCTTGTAAATCTAGTAGAACTCCTCTCGTGGCCTGTGTATTTTTCTCGGGTTATGAATCTGAACAAATCCAACAAAATTAGCTAATAAAGGTCAAAAAGGCTAAATATACTTACAAAATTGACGATAAATGCACGTAAATCGGGGAAAATTCATTTTTACTGCTAACCATAAAGTAAAAATATCAGACATTACGGCCTGTAAGAGTGTAAAAACACAGAAGATTTATTTATCTGGGTCCATTAGCTGACAGATAAACCGCTAAATTTACAGAACAAATTTAATCATCTCTTTTGTGTGTTTCATTGTACTTATTTACCACACCTAAGCTCTCGCCTCGTTCTTCTTCTTCTCCTCTTTTATATTCTCTATATCCGTAGTTATCCTCGCTGTCATATGCTGCAAAGTTGTTGTTATCCGCTTCGTATTGTGCATATTGGTACTGGCCATCATAGTTCTTGTAGTAATCAGCTTTCTGATACTTCTGATCGTAACGATAATCATGGGACGGATCAACCTTTTTCATGTACGGAGATGTTTCTGAAATCTCTGCATGTCTTTTATCTTCTGGAAACTTATTCTTGTACTTGGCAAAAGAAAAGTTGTCTGGTGCGTGGCTGTCTGCGTATCCTTCATTGTATTTCTCAGAAGCAGCCTCGTCAAATTTTTCTTCGAACCCGCCGTCAGCGTAGCCAGAAAACGCAGCGTCCTTCTCCTTGTAGCCACCATCCTTGTAAGCGTCTGTATAGGATACAAACGCGTCATTGCGCATCATTTCCTTGTCTTTGTAGCTGTCCTCCTTGTATGTGTTTGGATACGTGGCATATGTACCATCTCTTGTCATTTCTCTGTTTCTATAAGCTTCATCCTTGTACACATCGGTGTATGGGGCAAATGCCGGATCCCTCACCATATCCCTCTCCTTAAAATTGCCATCTTTGTACGCGTCGGCATACGATGTAAAGGCTGCATCGTGTGACATTTCTTTTTCCTTTTCCTTGTACGTGTTGTCACGAAAATACAGCCCGCACGAGTTACACAGCGGGTGCCCGTTGATCCCTCGTCTCCAGAAGGAAGTTTCCGTCGTGCCGCAGTTACCGCATTTGATTTTATCAAACCCGCTCTTCAATGCCTTAGTTTTTCCCTCTGGTGTCGTGCTGTAAGGGCGCGGTCTCCCATGCAGTTTCTGGTACAGTCCGCACGCATTGCACAACAACTTCTTGCCGTCGGTGCTTCTGCGCCATGACGGAGTGGTGGTCGTTACACAATTGCTGCACACCCGCATTTTAGGCTTTCTCTTTGAGTCCTTGTGCATCCTCATGTTCATTCTGAGCGTGTAGTAATCATCGTAGCCTTGAAACTTGTTGTGGTTATATCTGAAATAGGGATCCTCATACGTTTCCTGACCGAACTTCTTGTACCCGGGTATTTTTGGTGAGTATCCCGTGTAGACGTTATTGTAGTTCGCATCATAGCCATAGTTCACGTAGTTTCTTTTATCAACGAATTCTTCTTGTCCGTAGGAAGGATACTCAGTTTTCCTAGCATATTCGCCCTCCATGTTCTTAGATTCTGTCTCTATTTTATCTTTTTTCTTATCGTCATTAATTTTTTCCTTATTCATTTTTTTGCCTTGTCGCTCTTTTTGTTTTCTTAATAATGTCTGGTACATCAAAAGTGATAAATAAAATGATTTAATTGTTTATTTAAATACTCAAATTATTTAATCAAAAAAGGAATGCATTTGATTTCGCACTGACAGCACGTCAGCAGTGGTATAAAAACGGTTTGTTTTAAGAAATAAACAAAATGCAAGCACGAGTACCGTATTGGAAAATATGCAGAAAGGAGATCGTGAGTTTTAATTAGTTCGTTAAATCTTTAGGAATGGTTAGATTAGGAAAAATAAAAAGGGAGTTTTGACTCGTAAGGGATAGCGTTCATACAGCACTTATAGGACAGTTATATAGCCGTTATATAGCATGTATCGTGGATAGGCTGTGGACTTGTTAAATTAAACGTCATAAATTTTCACTAAGAAACATTTACGGCTCATTGAGTGACACCGTCAAAAATATTTAGGCTATATGTTACATACGCTGCGACATGGCGGAATGTGCACATGCAATTTAGTAATTGCATTCGTGCAAGTCATTTATATTAAATTGATTTAATTACCATTTTCTTGTTTAATTATACCGCTCAACTTACGCCAAGTAAATTTAACTTCGTGGTCCAAACACACATCTTTCTAAATTAGTAAGTTAAAAGTCTAAGATTAACCGGGCATGTACTGTTCATGACTGTGCCAAAAACAGCTCAGTTGTAAGAATTAATGCCGAGAACATCCATAGTTCACCCGTTGACCAACGAATTACTTTTTATTGTGGATTTCAATTTGTAAGCATTGTTCAAAACTCTTGGACCAACAAATAGTGCGGATGAAAAACAGGCCATAAAATGAGCAACCATTTGTTTGGTCGGTATGCTTTCTGTTGACTGGATTATTACGTCGGCGTACTCATACACGTATTACATGAGTTGATGTTCTACACCCAAATTCATTGCCAAATGATAGCATTTAAGTATAAATAACCACGCAAATGTCATAAAGAATAGGTTAAAACTGGATTTATGATAGAAATAAAGAACTAGTCGGTAGATCTTTTGTTAATAGTCAATGACAAACAGTAATATGTATCGGTATTAATAGCTTACCGATTTAATAATCATTTTTTGGACGTAATATATATTTAAAAGTATTTATTGGATTGTAGAATTAGATATTTTATTTTCTACTTGTGACAGTAGAAGATGTTTCTAAATCTAAGTGTATATGTATGCATGTCTTTGTTGTCAAAGGGTTGCGGACGAACTAAAATACGTTTAAATTGGTGTTGGACATCAATTAAATGCAATTCGCATTATTTTGCCCACTTAACATCTGAGCTGGACATAGACCTACTAGCAATCACCATATCAGTTCAAAATTCAGGACAGAGCAATAGGAACCAAGGTATCATAAAAAGTTTGTACAATGAGTTGTATTGAAATGTAGTAAGCATGCATGCTCGCATTTTTTATACGATATCATATTTAACAAAAATACGTGCTCACCATTAGTTCTTTCGCGATTATTTCAATATACATGATTTCAAGGCGGTAATCGTTGCAATAAAATATTATGAATTGGTTTGCTGCTCGACACAAGTATATTTTTATTAAACGTCAAACTTGGTTTTAAAATTTCTCCAAAAAATAAAAAAAGAATTTTTTAAGCATAGTTATTCTGATTTAGTAATTGTCAAATCTAACAGATCTCTTTGCAAAAGGAGTCTAATATGAATAATTTGATTTGCAAAGTATAAAAAATATAATTTACAAACTTCCATGTTTCTCATGTATAATAATTCAAATGATAACATCTTTTGAACGTTATTTTTGATCTTCGCTGCTGCATACAATATTACATAACTAATTTATACTTTTTCACAAAATATTTATAACCTCATACAAGAAAACAATCCGTTTTTATCTAACATTACGTTTTTGCTAGCATTCCCAGCCGCAACACAAAAATATTGTATCCGTACTTTTGTAAGCTCCCGGCAAAAAAGAACAAAACTCCGCCAAATAGCTTAATGTACAACATCGTATTGATGCCCATCCTGTTAGGAATAACTGATAATTAGAAGTAGAATGCTATTCTTACATCTATCTCATACAAAATTACTCATTTATACTACCATTTTTGCAATTTCTGCTATATCACACATATTCTTTATCATTTTCCCACTTTTGAAATGATACAGTTTTTTGATAAATTGTCTTAAACACATTTTTTGGTCATTTAGGTGCCATGATTCATTGATATAATAGATATGATCTGTAAGTTGTGATATTATAGCTCATCAAGGTTCTTTACTCCCAATCTATTACTTTCATCTCGATGCAGTGCCAAAGAAGACAGCCAGAGTATAATTTTACGGATTAAAACTCGAACTCAAAACTATTTTAGATTGTGATGTGCCTATTGCTTTGTATTTGTGAACAGTATGTTATGTGTTAGCGAAAACTACTATTTACAGTTCAAACGCATTATTTAGCCCAAATGGAACTGGCAAGAGTGATCAATCATCAAGTAATTAATATTTTTATTAAAATTGCATTACTCTTCCGCCAACATCGAATAAAATATCTTCTTTAGGTGACAGTGGTGCCGAAGTAGTTTAAACATTTGGTGAGTAGCTTGGATCGATAAAAAATATAGATAGTATTAAGCCGTATTTACGGATTGGTAGCACTCATGTCTCACATCAAAACCGTTGATAAATAGTTGAGCATAGAGCCTGCACGCTATTAACAGATAATTTGACATATACGACGATCACAATAAGTAAAACTGTCTTTCTCGTAAATTTCATGGAACACAGAGCGAATTATGAAACAGTGTCATAAAAAATGACCAATCATTTGTACAACATGTTCAAGCAAACGCACCAATAAACGATCAGAAGACGACTATAAAACCAAAAAAACAGCGCTGCTTATAATGCTTACGCTTCTTTTCGTTTTACACCAGGCATATGCTAGAGAGGGCTACAACCAAGATAAAGTATCAAATTACGAATTACGGGCTAATAACTACGGAATAAATGTTAAGAACAAAATGCAGATGCATTCCTACAAGACCCAAAACGCATCCACCATAGAAAGCATATCCGATACCAGCACCGGATATTCCATAAAACTGCATGCCAGGAAGAGTGAACTGGACTTCAGAGTTGAAGGTAACTCGTTGTTTATTACGTTCAGCAAAGAAAATGAGCACATGGAGATCAGCAACCAGATGAGGATCGATGTTACCAACAACAACCTACAAAATTTTTATGCCAAGGAAATTCATGAAGATAACGACACTTACACCGTGGTTAACCTGGTATTTGAGAAGCCGGATGGTGCTGAGCTTGAAATTAGCAAGAACTACAGCGAAGAAGCTGATTATGAAGATTAATCAGAAAAAGTAGATTTGATCGCTGAATAAAGCTGTTTTGGTCATTTGTTGCAAACATGTTTAATACTTTATTGTTCTCATTATTGGTGCATGGAATACTACAAATGTTGGTGAGTGTTAGCGAAAACGGGATCGCATTCTACCAGCATTCCTTGGCATTCAAGCTAGATATATTTTCTTGTCTAGATAATTACTGTTCAGAAAACATCGGGTCAATGCTTGTAGCGATAGTTTCTGAGCACCGAATCGTTTTGTTATTATTGTACTGTATTTATCGGCAGCCGTGCATTCTTTATGGCGTATCACCGCTCATTATTACCTTTATTGTTTAAGAGAAACTTTGTTAAATGCCGGTAAGATGTAACAATTCTACCTATTCTCTCTTAGATCAAGATCAGAGTGAAAATACATATCTGGGCTTGTCACATAAAATAGCTATAGAGACCACAAGCACAGCCATTTCTTCGATCTATTTTACATAGGCAATTCTCACGAACAAACTCTTTAACAATACATTTTCACGTATCGCTATAGATTATAGATATAATAACGCCACAAAATAATTTTGCTCACCTATTTCATCCTCAACAGTAAAAGAATTGCTTTTAATGTAAAGCGGTGTAAGTTACTCCTATTGTACGGTTTGAACAGCAGTAGCGCAAATACTGGCACAGAAAGGTAGAAAATATTCTGAGATTTTAACTAAAAGATCAAGAAAAAGATACAACCCAATTTTTTACGATATGCTCATTGTGAATGATCACAAGAATCATTTGAAACACGGGAGTTAACAGTTTAACTATATTCTCGTCGCGTTCCGCTCGTCTGTTGAGGTTGGTGCAAACCGGTCAAAGAAAAAATATATTGTTGTACTATTTCTGCTTGTAAAATGGAACTAAATCTGATTACATGTGAAATGGTATTTCCCTCAATATATCATGTTCCTGTTTTCAATATGTTAGTATGGGCTAAATAATTAATTTTTATGCGGCAATAATGTACTTCAAATTTCTAAATGACAGTTGAGCATATCTTGGAAAAAATGAAGCGACTAGCAGTCTTTAACCCCTAATTACTTGCAAAAAATGGAATAAAACAGTTTTATTCTCCACCAAAGCTTATAAATCTGCTTGCGAGTCGTCTTTTTATTTGCAAGGAGTATTATTGCGTATGATCTGTAATTAGTCTGGCGGCGAATAGATCTTTTGTGAGGTTGACATGAGAAGTATGAGATCCTGTTTCTCATTGACTTTCTACTGGATACACTTTGGGAGAAGATCAACCGGCAACTTGGTGTTAACTGCAACACTCCGCATGCTCGTTTTGTAGTACAAGGTGAATAAAAGAGACTAGTATTTCTATAAAGCGGTTCATAATGAACGTACACATAGTAAAATGCATGGGAAATGATGAAAGCAAAATAATTATCATGAATGATATGAAAGCAGACCGGCCTTTAATACCAAGAAAGGGTTAAGGTTTCACATATTTTATCATATTTAATCATTTACTGCCCTCAATTCATAATAATTTATCGATGTCTGTAAAGGTACCGTCCCTTATCATTACAAAAACACGAAATTATCACAAGTAATCATCTGCTTGTTTATAGCAATTTACCAAATCTTTCTAGACATAGTGTAATCGGCCGTAAGCAGCTGCTACTTTATGGGATCAAAGAACAAATTAGCTATTTTCTGTTTTCTCAGGGAATAATTTATTAACCCCCCATACCAACAACATTATTCTCCACCATCCTTTATAATCATATCTAATTAATTTTTTAATTGCAAAATGAGCATTCTTGTAATTAATTATGATATAAAATATTTTTTTGAGCTTTTAATGCGTGAGAATACAAATAAATAATTTTTAACAAAAAATAGGTGATTTAATCTGGATAATAGACAGTGTCAGCCACTTATTTTAGCAGTTATACCATTTATCTCATTTTCTGTTTGCTTTTACTTCGTATAATACCTGTTTGCTCCATGTTTAGAGTCATGAATCATTATGTAAGCAATAATACTTGGGTTACACTTTAGATACAGATGAATTTTCATCTCAACCAACACATGCCAATAATTTGAGGTATATACGGTTCTATATCAATATCTGTCGTGAATAAAAACTCAAACTACTTATCATGTCAGTTACGCCCCACTGGTCACACACAACACATGCCATGGTTTGCTACGGCAGTAATCTGTGTTTGTTCCATTTAAAAAACTATCAAGAAATGTGTTTGTTTTAATTAGCTTTGTGAGCAAATATGGGATGATTGAAAAAGTAGAAAAGAATTAAAAGCAAAATTATTGAACAGTTTCTGTTTTAGTTGGTATAGATGAGTATTGTTGAAGAGAACACCAATAGAACAATGAATGATGCGCTTTTGGTAAATTTTTAGGCGGAGCATTACGTATTTAACTGGGAAGTTATGAATTATGAGATCATTTGTGTGCTAATATGGAAAGCGATTATAATTTACCAACGTAAAAATTGTGTACATCTCTTAAAGTAGTTGGTATCGAAAAGAATTCTCGTTGTGATCTATCTTCCATTTCTTACCATATTCATTGCAAAAGTATATTTTTAGTAAAATAGAATAGCGTAAAATTTGAAATAGTTCGAAATTTATTTCTATAATTAAAAACGGTGCACAAAATTGATAAATGGCGTGTTTTAATCCTACTTTAATATATTTGGCAAAGCATTTGCATGCAGGGAACACTCCATAGCGCTAATTTGACATAATTACGGTCTGTCAATTTCATTTCCATTCGTAAGACAATTTGCCCTAAATGCGGTATTACCGAATATTACCAAACACAACAACTCAAACAAGATGGTATGCACCGCATTTCTACGGTAAGTATTTCCAATTCATCACCATTCTGCACTTTATCCTTTACATTACTGGATTTAACCGTGTAATCTCGTCCTGCTATACTGTCCTCAATCCACCAATCATTTTTCTACATTTGTAATAAAACTATAAAAGACCTGGCACAGCCAAACCCATGTTTCTATACCTCATATCCGCTCTGTGCAACATGACAATGCACGAGATAGCGATTGATGATGAAATGATGCCCAACATAACACGAAAGCTGATAAACGATCCGAACGCGTTTCTTCGCGAGCTTGTGAGCAACTCGATGGATGCCAACAAAAAATTGGTGATCGCAACAAAGCAGAGCGACATCGACACAAACAAGGACATCATGCTTACGTTGAAGGACAACGTTTTTACGATCGGTGATAACGGCATAGGCATGAACAAGATGGAACTCATCAACTACATTGGTACGATGGGTGGATCGGGCACACGTGCCATGGGAGACTCTAAAAACTTTACAGGAAGATTTGGTGTAGGTTTTTACAGCGTTTTTGTCGTGGCAGATGAGGTGCGGTTGATCACCAAGAAGTACGGCGAGGGCGAGACTTACGAGCTCGTGTTGAAGAACGGCCAGAAGACTTACACGATTGATACGGTCGCTGACAGGGGCGAGTGCGGTACAACGGTCCAGCTGAAGCTGAGCGAAGCATTCTCCAGCGGATTGGACGAGGAAGACCTGAAGAAGTGGATGAAAGATAATTTGTTGGAGGATCCTCTGAGAAATTACACGATCCGAATGCAAACGGACCGGATTAAAGAAAAGAAGGAGGATAAATCCGATGAGAAGAAGGTCGAGGAAACGACTACCGAGGGCGAAAAGATTGAGAAAGAGGTTGATGAGTATAAGAAAGTGGATCTGTTCCCATGGATTGCTGCAGTAGACGAAAAGAAATTAGAAGATTACTATAAGGGCATCGATGGGCCGGGCAAGATCCTAGCAAGTGACAAGATGCGTGTTACGGTAGCTCAGAAAGACATGGATGGCAAGTACCGGGACGTGAGCTTTGAGCTGCTTGTGGTAATTCCAGAGTTCTTGGACCTGCGAGTGCTGGGAATGGAGACTAAGGGCAAGCACTGCTTGTTTGTCAACAATCAACGCATTGAACTTGAGCCTGTCCCTGCGTTTCTCGGTCCGATCACGTTTATTTTGAAGAGCAGCGAAGCATACCTGGTCAGCACCAGAGAAAAGCTGCTGAACAGCAAAGACACCTGCACAGCGCTGTACAACTCGGTGCAAAAGAAGGTGTTGCAGCTGATGAAGGCCGAAATGAAGAAAGATTTGAAGAAAGTGATGAAAGTTTACGATTACTACATCAAAACGGGATATGTTGAGTCTAAGAAAGACAATAAAAGCAGCCTTGCCGAGGCATTCGCAGCAGTGATGCCGTTCAACACCTCCGAGGGACAGGTCACCCTGCGAGACTTTGTCGGCAAGTTGGGCGCGGATGAGGAGATTTTGTACGCAAGCATCGGTCACGGCACGCTGGATCTGCCAGAAGGTGTGCACAATCCGTTGTTTGACGGCATTAAATCGCCATTTATCCTTGTAAGTGGGTTGCTTGATGAGCAGGTGGTGTCCATGTTGGAGTACAAAGGCAAGAAAATGATAAACATTGTGAACAAAGAGTTCAAGAACAAGGAGGCAGAGAAGGACGATGCGTTCGTATCGTTCTGCAAGCGAGAGTTGAAGGGCGTTGTGGATGACGTTGTGATGAGCGTACGGCTTGTAAACGCACCATTTTTCCTGAAGGCAAAAAATGCGCAATTTTCACAGGCACACAAGCAGGTAATTGGCGAGTATACGATCAAAAACTCAGCATTTAAGAAAACGATTGAGACCGACATTTTGCTTGAAGTAAATGTCGATTCGCCCGAGGTGAAGAAGATTAAGGAGCTTATAAATGAGGATTATGACAGGGCTGTGGCAGCACTTCGTTCCGGTGTTATTGCTGCTGGTATAATCTGCAACATGGTGTACAACGACACGACAGTTGCCTTCCTCAACATGGTCAATGTGCAGAGGAACCTTCTCGGACTTGAAAACGCGCCAATCGTTGTCAAGGAAGATGAATTTGATGTGGACAAGGAGAAAAATAAGGTTAAGAAAGATTTGGATGACATAAAAGAGAGTGTTAGGGGACAAAATGAGGACGGAGAGGATGATGTTAATTTTGGACGAATTGGCGATGACGAGAGCGCCGATGAAACGGATGAGCGAATCAAAAAGGATGGGAAAGATATCAAGACGGGAGATGAGGTTGATGAAGTGAACGACCAGAAAGATGAAGCAGAAATGCAATATTCTACCACTGAGGATGAGACCAAGGACACTAAGTTTGAGGTCGGAAACGAAAAAGTCAAGGAAAAGCCTGCATCTGCTGTCAGAGAGGAGTTGTGATTCAAAATAAAAGTGATTTATAGTTTGAGAAATGCTTGTTCATTTGCGACTGTTCCTTCTTCCGGTTTTTACGTTCTTTTTTTGGTAGCTATGCTTTTGTTTGCAATTGCTCTACTTCCTATTGCAACCTACGGTTGTGAGTTGTATGGCATGTCCTCTTCGCGCCTGCACCCCTGCCACGAATGGTATGCCACGCATTAAAAGATGTACCTTTGGTTTTATTGATTCCCGTATTGTAACCAATTAGGCGCTGCGCATCAATTGCATGTTCATACGGGCACGAGCTTACCGATTCGTACTTCCTTCGAACGTATGGATGGTCAAACAATGATTGACCAGTTATTCAGGCGTTCAAGTGGTACTTAGATCACTGGAACGATGCGTTGGCTACACACGCCTGTCAAGGAAGCGATTTTTGTCACGCAATGTGAAGCAATACAGGCTGTCATGCACCGATAAGGTGTGATAAGCAATTTTAGACATGTGAATTAATTAATTCACCCCTATCATTTTACAAAATTGTTGTTGCTACAATTTTAGACGTGTGAATTAATTAAATGTGTATCGACATATCCATTTTTGCCTACCACCTCGCTGGATACAGCGCAATCGCTCTGACATGGGAAGAAAATGTCCATTATATGGGAAGGAAAACCGTACAGCATGTGCTCCGGAGGTGCCAACAATGGGCCGAATATCGAACATGTTTTTTGGGTTGTGTGTTAGGTTGCCGAGAACTATGCTTATCTGTAAATCCTGAGAAGAAGAGGTCCTTGGGTGCTCCTTGGAGAGAGTGCCGCACAAGCTACAACTTGTGCATTAAATTGTCACTGCGGTCGCGGCATATATTTCTGTTGAAGATGTTGTGCGGAACAGTGCATCAATTTACTTCATGAGCCAAAAACGTGGCTCTGATCGGTCCCAGTGGGCCAGAAAAGTGGGTTTGCTTTAGTGTTGTTGATGTGAAGGGCTAAGCAAACGTACCTCAAATGAAGAAAACTCCCTGAGACACCTTTTTCACCACCAAAACATTTTAATAAATTCTTTTGAAGATTTCTGCTACGCTTGGCACATCATCAACAATAAATCCATCTACGACATGCAAATCATTCAATTGTCTTACCAAATTTATGTCTCTCAACCTCTTACCGTACAGCATGATTCGCAGGTTAAGGCTCCGTATGAAATTGAACAGCATACCCAGATCACCATTCAGGGTGCTCAAACCGAACACAATGCCGTCTATACCGTTTAGCATACACATTCTCAGCTCTTGGTTAAATAGTGGTACGAAGTCACTTAGATTACCATTGTAAACGAAGTCCTTGAGGAAGAAAATATGAGCAGAGGTGTCATAATGCTTAAGTGTGATAAGCAGATTGATATCAAATGAGGAAAAGAAGACCTTCCTGCTCCTGTATTTGTACACCACTTGCATCACGTGCTGTATAAATATTTCGCGTGGTATGGTCTTGGATATATTGTGCTCCTTCATTTCGTTTTCTAATGGATACTTCAACTCCAGGTTGAACATGAGGTTGCCATTCAGATGTTCAAAAAGTTCTTCTAATGTTCCAGGCACATTTCTATGATCGCTAATGTCCAAGTGCGGTCGCTCTCGACCCACAAATTCCTTCCCAGCGCGCAGAAACTCTGCGTATGTCAAATCCTGTATGAACACGTTCTTTCCTTCGATTGGAATGCAGAAGTTGTGGAAGATTACGGGCACGTAGTCTCTCGTGATATGCACGTCGAATTCTATCGCATCAGCACCGATGCTGTGCGCCGTTGAAAACGATTCTATCGTGTTTTCAAAGCAGTTATGGATGCTTGTAGCGCTATTTGAGCCACAACCACGATGTCCTATTACAAGTGCATTTTCATAGTCAACTGCAAGCATCGACGCAATGGACAAATTTAAAAAAAGGAGATAAAATATAAAAAATTTTGACGTAGCATGAGACAATGAAAGCGTCATCCTCTATTTCTGCTTTAAATCTTCTTATTATACGCATTTCATTGATAAATTATCGCCAAAATACCTCAAAATTATATGATGAGCAGTTTGATCACAGAAATGATAAATAAGCACGATGATCACATGGTATATCGCTCTGTTTGTATTAACCTGTCCAGATTTATTAAAAACTTTGGTCGTACATTAGACCAACGAGCATTCATAATACCATGTTGCGCTATGAAATGCTTAAACATGAAAAGCATGTACGTACTTACTGGGCCCTTCTTCACACCCCTAACTTCAGCCTGTAAATAAAGCTACAACATGTGTTTATGTGAAATATTATCAATGTCATCTGATACATATGGCAGCTTCTCACGATTTAAAAACGTTGAATACAACTCGAAATAGAAAAATTTGACAATTTATCGATAAATCAATCGGCAGCTTTCCCAATGAGGTTGTTTACATTGATTGGTTGCAATCATTACCAAAAAACTAATATTAGAGTGCTTCCTGTGTTTTTATTAGTGCTATCCCCGTACAGACAGTTTCATATGTTGCCAGCTAACAGATTTAAATCTGTGATTGCTGTTACCAGGAGCAAACTCATAGTTACGGATAACATAAAATATGACAGTCTCTTAAATGCAGAACACCCATTCGTTTGCTTATAAAATTACTTTTCATCGGTACTCCGCTACTCGGTTGTATGCTGTATTCTGCACGTTTTTGTGTCTTTGTGGGAATGCCTGATTTATGATCGATGCCCGTAACCGGTTATACACGGATATTCAATGTAGATAGTGAATTGAGTGTCAAGGTATGTATTATGGGATATTGCTCGGTCAAACTAGTAGAATATGCCATAACAAGTATTACACAAGCAACGAGAGTAAACTCAGCATAGAGAAGTACATAGGTGTGGTCAGGATTGAGGTAAATTTGAATCAGCTAACACAAAAGGTGATTTTTTCGCGTACACGCGCGTGAGCGTAATATCGTTTGAACATAAAGGCAGTCTAAAGTTTATTGAATAGGGCGTAGATGACCATGCATAGCTCTAAAAGACAGTTTTAGTAAATACATCGTGTTATACACACTGTATTTAAGAACTCCTATGATTAGGGTATATCACAGGCGTACTAAACAAACACCAAGTAAAAATCTTTCTCTAGATGAAACGTATAATAGTACGCTGATGGATACATTCTACCACATCTAAAACACACACATTGCAACAATCATTGATTGCGTGTCCGTTATGGTAATATATGCTATGAAACATGTTCTTTTTTCCAGCCACAAAAGAATAAAACTGACTGCTTTTAACATCACAGGCAATTATTATCTAAGTATTCAGGCAAATGTGCGCAATCATTATTTCCGTTTACAAAACGAAAGAAAATAAGATTACCTATTAAATGGTACTTTCATTGTAATATCTTATATTGCGTTTTTTTGCCGGTTTTAGACCTTTTAGCACGGGTAACGAATTAACTCTTATTTAACGATCATACCATTTCTGTGTTGTTTGTTTGAACAGCTTTGAGCGTTTCAGAAGAAAAAAGAAAAACTATCATCAAATACTTATTTTGCATAAAACAAGGAACAAAATTTTATATTCTTCATGAAGGTTCAATATTTATTCTCGGAACTGACCAATCAGCTTGCGAATTGTCTTTTATTTATTCAAATCGAATGCATGGTGATGATAAGCTGGTCACAAACAAAATATTTTATGAAATATAATTTTTAATAAGCTCATATGTTTAATGCGTGCTGCTTGGGCTTTCATCCCATTTTCTTGATGTATTTCTTGCGTCTCGCTTTTCGATGACGGGTAAGCTTGGTACGCTCACACAAGAACGTGCGAAGTGTTCTGAAACACTGGATCTAGCACCATTATATTTTGATTCTGCTGTCAAACCCATATCCATGCTATATTCATCACTATAGACACGTTCAGAATCGGTAACACTTCCATAATCGCTCATATGCTCATCATTGAAACAACCAATATCCTCATTTTCACAGTCGCTTTCAATAGCTTGCATTCCATCCATCCCAAGACCAGGATTAGCTTTAACATATTCGCCGCGCATTTTTCTTAAATATCGTTCCTTTTTGCAGCTGCACACAAAACATACGAACAAAACCAAAAATAAACCTACAAAAATGGTGATACAGCCGAAATATGCTATGAAGGCGTCAGCTTTATAGCTATCATCGCGATATTCCCACTTTTTATTGAAGCATTCATAAATTTTTGCATCAAAGTATCCAAACATGGTGCTAATTTTATTGTACAGCGCATGCCAGCTTTTTGAACTCGCATCAGGTTCCAAATCGTGAATATCCTGGTACGCACTTTTTGCGCATTTGTAAGCTCCTATATTAAAATAATTTGAGCAGTGCTTTTTGACAACCTTGCACAGATTATTTGCACCAATGTACACATGCCTGTCGAATGAAAATACCATAATACCACTTTTAAAGTCTGCTGGTGATTCTTCTTCGTAATCGTCCATGAAAAACGCTATTTGTGTTCGTACGGTGATGATCAATTAGAACGCGCAGTCGAGGTACAACATTTAAGGTAAATTGCAGCAAAAATGGTGATACACTTCTCAAACAACTCCATAAGCATTCATCCTCATAGAACACGTAAACACGAAGATGAGTAGTACATTCGTTATAAGTATCCTCAACTCATGCTGTGCTCGGATTGGCCACAAAATTTTGTTTTATAAGTTCATAATAAATGAAACATTAGAAAAGCCTTCTGTATCATTTATCATAGCAGAGAATTAATTTGCTTTTTCAACGACAGACACTTCAATATTCCATTTTTAATTTATGATCAGCCAAGAAATTAGTAACCAGAGCAAAGCTCGAATTGCAATTGAATACATCGCACATCCTATGTTTGCAACATGTGGCACACGCACACATTTTAATTCTGCTCTTATAAAACTGCACACCGCATTTGTACAAGAACATACGTACCGCATGCTTTTCCACATCATTTAGGCTAAAAATATTGATTTGAGACGTAACCATACGACGAATTGCATATTATGCTTGTGTTGTATATTAGAGCACAGCACGTATGACTAGCTATAAATTATGTGGTGTTGTACCATTTTAAAGAACGTATCGGAATAAGTAGCATGCTTGACTTACAGACCAGCAATTAAGTTAATGAACAGGTTTATTAAGCATAGTGCAGTACTTCACACCTCTTTACACACAGCACAATACTATCCATAGCTGAATAGCGTACAAAATCATGAAAGGTAACCTATATATTCTTTAATGCTGCACATTGATGACATTCACTGCAATGAATAGGCTGTTTCCCTACTCGTTTCAGGTGCTTTTTCTCTTTGCATGCCACAGCAATACCACACCAGTGCATACCAAGATGCATGTTTTTATGTTTGTTAAATTCTGGGTAGTGCGAGCCTGGCTAGCTCAGTCGGTAGAGCATCAGACTCTTAATCTGAGGGTCGTGGGTTCAAGTCCCACGTCGGGCGCATTTTTTTATGTATTGCTGTGCATGAGAAATCTTAGTACAATGAAAGATGATTTATCACATGTAGGATGATCTTTTGAATAGCTTTATAATACCAAACAAGGTTGATCGAAGTGCTCTTCACAAAAAAGGAAGTAAGCTGTTAAGAAGATGTCTTTTATTTCAAACAGTAAACATTCCCTTTATACCATCGCTAACTATGATATTCTACCATACAATACATTAAACGGTAGTATTACGCATTTTTATGTTTAACTCTGTCACCATTGTTTGTAGGTCAAATTTACCTATCACTTCTGCTACTCCTCTGTGTGTAAAACAAACTAATCGAACTTATCGTAGCATCCTTTTACCCAATCACCATATCTTAGTTCTTGTGCTTGTACCTGCCACACCTGTTCTACTTCACCTAATCACCATATCTTAGTTCTTGTGCTTGTACCTGCTACACCTGTTCTACTTCACCTAATTCCACACAATTCCTTATACGTTAAATTACATGCCCTTTCAATCTCACGATATCATCATCTGTCATCCTCATAAATAATTACAAAAAAATTGCCCCCATGTCAACGAATTACTCGTTCCACAACAAAAGAATAATCTTTGTACGGCCATATATTCTGCCCTTATACACCATACCGGTGTTCCTAACGATCAACACGTACCTCATTGTGCTGCCCGTTGCTTTGACCGTGTTTCTTATTCTACTGTGCATTTGGTCCACACGCATAAATCTGCTATTCAATTACAGCACGGATCGTACGGGCCGGTTCATTTACTTCGATGGAATGGTGCATGAACTGCAGAAAGACGAGCGCAAAAATAAGAAGGACAGAGCGGAGAAGGATGATGGCAGGCGTGCGTATTTCATGCACAAGCACCGCATATTTATATGGGACGGTGCACGCATAAACAAGCTGAAGGCGGATGTGCACCGACCGATCGATCTGTACAAGGACCTGGTGCGCTTTGAGCTTGAGCACACGCTCCCGAACAGCATGCGCATAGACATACCGTCGTATGCCCAGCTGTTCTATGAGCACTTCAGTGCGCCATTCTTCGTGTTTCAGATCTTCTGTGGCGTGCTGTGGTGCCTTGATGAGTATGTGTACCACTCGCTGTTCACGCTTTTCATGCTGTTTGTGTTTGAAACGGGAGTGGTGTTTTCAAGGCGTGTGACGATGAAGCACTACAGATCGATGGAACGTAAGGAGAGCGCTATCGACACGCTTGTGTTTGATGGTGATACGTACACCAGAAAGACGGTGAGCAGCACCGATCTTGTGCCTGGTGATGTAGTGTGCATCGATAGGACGGGCACTGTGCCCGCTGATATGATCGTGCTCAAGGGATGCTGCGCTGTTAACGAGGCGATGCTTACCGGTGAGTCTCTGCCCAATTATAAGGAGGATATAGGCGAGCTGACCGGTATGTTTGAGCGGCAGAAGAAGCACGTGCTGTTTGCAGGCACAGAGATGGTCAAGATCGAACCTACACGTAAGAAACGGGTCACGGTGCCCAAGGGTTCTCAAGGTGTTTATGCGCATGGCGGTAAAAATACAAAAATAGACGGCAGCATTAATGCGTCCGAGAATAGGGCAGTGCGGAGCAGCGTTAGTTCTGACAGCGGTGTGGAGAGTGGTAGGGATACATGGATCGAGGAGAGTGCTAATGTTTATAACAGTGGCGAGGACGCGAGTACGGGCAAGGAAATGAATACTGGTAATTCAAATACGGGCGAGATCAATCATGTGCATAAAATAGACCGGTACTCTTTTGATGATAAATCGGTGATAGCAATGGTAATAGAAACGGGCTTTGGAACACAGCAGGGCAAGCTTATACGGAAAATGATGACGAATGCACCACCTGACAATACGGAGGCGTATCTTTTCCTGTTGTTCCTCTTGGTATTTGCTGTGCTCTCGTCCATCATAGTTCTGTACCAGTCTATAAAAATGGGCAAAAGCCATTACAAAATTATGCTCGAAATAATTTTAATATTAACGAATGTTGTGCCACCGGAGCTGCCCCTGGAGCTTACCATCGCAGTGAATGCAGCAGTTCATAAGCTGCTCACACAAGGGGTGTTCTGTTTGGAACCGTTTAGGATCGTGCGGGCTGGTGTGCTTGACATAGCGTGTTTTGATAAGACAGGTACACTCACAGAGAGTGAAATGGTGGTTCACAGAGTGATTGCGCATGACGAGCATGGTGTGACAGGCATTCTTAGTACGTGCCACTCGCTGCTCGTAGAGGAAGGTGAGCAACGAAGGATTGTTGGTGATCCTCTCGAAATGAGTGCATTCGCACATGTAAACGCTGAAGTGGTGAACGAGAGTACGGTGTGCACAGGTGGCGTGCAGTACGAGATCAAGAAACGCTTCTACTTCTCCTCTACGCTCAGGAGAATGTGTGTGGTGTACAAAGAAAGTAAGAAACGCATCTATAAGGTGGGCATGAAGGGAGCACCCGAGACAGTTAAAAAGTTCCTGGCACAGGTGCCTGATCACTACGACGAGTACAGAAGGTATGCAACAGAGGGATACCGCGTGTTAGCACTCGCAAGAAAGGACATGCATTCCATTACAGAAAGTACTACCAGAGAAACGGTTGAGAGCGGGCTTACATTCGTAGGATTCGTGCTGTACAAGAGCAAAGTGAAAGAGGAGAGTAGAATGGTGGTTGATACGTTAAAAGGAGCTGGATGCATGGTTGTTATGATTACGGGTGATAATGCGCTCACGGCGGTTGCTGTTGCAAAGGGATTGGACATTTATAACGGGAATGTTATGGAAGGTGATGATATAACCTTGGCATTGGATGAGTGGGAACGCACGAAAGGGACTTATAGATTGGATTATGGTGGAGATAAGAATAAGGACTTGGGTGATGATGATAAAAATAGAAATATGAATAAAAGTGCGAGTAAAAATACTAATGGCGTGGGGAAGTGCAGATTCACCATTGAAGAAGACGCAAAAATTAATGGTGATACTGTGGGCGCTATGCTCAATGCTAGGAAACGAGAAAAAACGGATGCGGCAGATGAGGGCTCTTCGCTCTCACCGACCGTAATAGAAAGGATGACAGATTTGGAGAGCACCGAGAAGCTCGACGGGGTACGAAATAGAAGCAATCTTATGGACGTATCGGTGTTTGCGAGGGCTGATCCCAAACACAAAGAACGGTTGATACGTTTCTATAAGACAGAGGGACTCGTAACGCTGATGTGTGGGGATGGCACGAACGATGTGGGAGCATTGAACGAGGCAGATGTGGGCGTGGCATTGCTCGTGAACGAGCAGAAGAAAACACAGCCTGAAAGTCTTAGAGATGCTCTGCTCAACGAGCTGATGGACAAGAAGGTAAACCTGGGAGATGCGTGTGTTGCTGCTCCGTTCACGATACGAAATGGTTTGCTCTCGGGAGTGCTCAGCGTGGTAAGGCAGGGTCGAAGCACGCTGGTCACTACGTTCCAGATGTACAAGATCCTTGCTCTGAACAGTCTGATCACGGCATACAGCCTAAGTTTCCTCGATTCAATGGGCATACGCTTCAATGACTACCAAATCACCATTTCAGGCATTCTGCTCGCATTTGCGTTTATGTTCCTGACAAAGTGCGAGCCATTGGACGAGATAAGTGCGCAGCGTCCAATCACAGGCATCTTCAACGCGTACTTTATGACAAGTATTATGTTGCAGACTGCCGTACACATCGTGACCACATTCATATTGGTGCTGCACATAGGCACACCTACCGAGTACAGCGAAAAATTCGTGCCTACCACGCTTAACTCTTCGCTGTTCATCCTGAGCACATCTCAACAGGTAAGCACGTTTATCGTAAACTACATTGGTCGGCCGTTCAGGGAGTCATTCCTGGAAAACACGCATCTGAGGAACTCGCTATTTGCATGTCTCGGATTTTGCATTTTTGTGTTGTTCGAGGTTAACGTAGATATGAATAGAGCGCTCGAAATTGTTGATCTTGGCGATGTTAGGCTGTGTTTGTTAGGTATTATGATGGTGGATTGGATATGCTGCTATGGGTTGGAATGTGCTTGTGCATATTTTTTGTGTGGTAGGGCAGCCAACAGAAGTGCAAAGAAATAAATGTTGGTTTAGTTACTTTGTTCGGTGAGATGAGTTGGTATTTGATCAGTGCACTGCAACGATGAAGGATTTATTGATGCGTTTGTAGGGTAGCGGGTGGTTGAAAAAAATCTGGAAAGGTTGTGAAAATGGTGGTTGTTACCCCTTGGTATTGAAGGGCTTAACTATAAAAGGCTGGTTCTGCTCTGTGCTATTGATCATTAATGCCAGAAACTGATCTGTTAGCACGACATTGCGTGCGCTTTGAATTTGATTGCTAGGGAGAAGCTGTGGTTACCGCAGCCTTATCACATGATAGGTACCTAAGATTGCCGTTCCTATCTTTAAAAGTGATGCATTCATATATTTGTGTAGCATTTTTGCTGGTATTAGAGTTAACTGCCCATTATTTTTGGTTCCCAAACTCTTAGTTACATGTCGGACACCACAGCATTTTTTATTCGGTCATGAACGAGTGGAGTACAGCTAGAATGATAATTAACTTACAATATGAGAGTATTGTGGCGGTCTTTCCAACATCTCTAAGGTACTTGCTAGTAATGCTTTTACTAAAATCATTTTAATGATTGGCTCTTATGTCGGTGTTCCTCTTAGGAAACATCCAGGACACCCGCTAGTACCGGGTACAGGATTTAGATCTAACGTTGTTCGAGTCTGATCGTATTCCTCTCGTTATAGCTATTTTTTAACAGGTAGGGCTCACGATGAACTTTTTTGATGGAGCGCCATAACGATGTGTATATTAGTTGCTCTGCATCCAACATCATTTAGATTAACGAATTCACCCGATCAGCTGAGGCAGACCGTGGTTACTGGCCTTGACACGTGGAGAACATAAAGGAGATCATCGTTTTTACGCGATTCTGAAGCTAAGCAGAACTTATGAGATATCCTGCGACTAGGGCTTAGGTGCAATTGGCTTCATAGGTACGGTAAATGCAACTTACTTGATCCCAAATAACTATCACCAAGTAGGCAAGATAGCTTCACTTTAAATTAACTTTAATCATGGTTCAATCAACCGTTTCTTATACCCCATTTCTTGCTCTTCAGATAAAGCGTCTATCACACTCTGCTGTCTTTTAGCTCTTCGTTTCTTCAAATACCGTACCAAAGCGGTGATAATAACAAGAATGCCCAGAAACAGTGTTATATATACCGCTACAGCACCTGCGATATACTCCTGATCTTGATAGTTTGATGATGATTCCTGGTTGCTGCATAAAGAGTTGGTTACATCCGTGCACACAGCATCGTATAGGCGATTGCTTTCATTAGAACTCAGTTTTGGTATTCCGGACGTTGTGTCAAACTCTTCAGCCTTGAGTAATCGATCAGAGTTGGGTTGCCCAAAATATACTTTACCATCACAATTCAGCTTACTATCCGTATAAGTAGGACAATTGATTTCCAACCCAGTTATTCTACTTGGACCATGTCCACCAACGCCAGATTCAACCGTATAGATCGTACCATTATCATTTTCTTCAATTTTATGCAGTCTAAACTCGACACCCTCATCGAAATATCGCTCTTTAACACCGGTTCCTCCGACACATTTCATAACAAGTGCATCTGAATCATTCGAAACTTCATTATCCTTGTACTCATCTTCGAAAATATTCATATTCCTAGACCCAGGACGCACATTTTCATAAAGGCTCGTATTCAAAGGCTCAAAATTCTCATAAACACTCGGGTAAGACGTGTTGTCACTCGACAAATTCGCTCTCTGTGGATTATACGCGGTATCATGGTCAACACATTTAACATTAAATTGGAACGAATTACCAACATCAAATATCCAATGTGAATTGGGAAGCTTCTCGTGCTTAAATACACTACGATCCGTATACTGCTCCTTTTCAGGATTTAATTTACTGTTAATAACTCCGTTACATTCAGAATAGCTTCCATTTTGATGACTGACACAGTCTAAGCTCAGTCCAGTAATTTTACTATAATCGGGTTCTATAACATCCGATAGTGCGATACAACCATAGTTAAGAGCGTGGTTTTTTGTACATCCAACATTCCAACTAACTGAGTTGCCGGTGTTGCATGGCTCATTAACAATTCCACTGGTACAGTACGCTCCGTTAACATTGGGCAGTTTACCACAAGTCATGTTAAATTTGAATGCATCACTATCATCAGGCAACTTACCGGGATCAAGGACTGGTTCAGTATCGTTCTGGTTATCGGTATTAACAGTATCGGGTATGTCAGAATACGGCATTGTATGTTTGTAAAACACAGATTCGTTTCTTAAATACTTTTATTCGTGCTTCCAATTAACCATAAATGCAACTATACCTTTTCAGCTGTACGAGAAGGGGAATAG